TGGAAAATGCCCTCAAGAGGTTCAAAGTTGCCACAGATTGGCAATAAGCACTAACCATCCTGTGGGGGTCTGGAAGTCTTTCCTTTTCATCAAACGCATCACCGTTGACATTGTCACCTCTGTAACTAGGCAGCTTCACGCCATTTTTCTCCTCAAATGGATCCGATCTTGGCTTCGCGAACTGACCCGCCATTCTCCCTACCTAAATTATATACCCATAGTTTATGTCATCTATCAGCACCATTAACAATTATTATAATGTCCATCAGTTAAAATTCAATGGCTATTTATTATAGATACGATTTTTTTTGCCATGAACCATTTCTACGACTACAGTTCAATTATAGGAAAACATATCTCTCACAAATTGGCATTCCACCACCAATGAAGTCATATTATTTTAAACTGATATTTCAATATAATTTGTAATTCCACCAAGTATTATTTCTCCAGGACTAATTCCATCACTCACATATTATGATTCACAAACTATCACCAACCCAGAAGAAAAAAAAAAAACTACACCTACACCACACGCATGATCCTGTTTCATACATAGTAGATTGATTCAACATTTACCAATCTAATATAATCTTATGCAAATTTCCACCCCAACCAACACCAAAAAAGAAAAAGGCGCAATATTTAAACACCAAAAAGGAACAAGAACGAGAGACGAAAGCAATCATAACCTTAATAACAGGCATTTGGCCACCAAACATAAGCACAACGCCCATCTGAAGAAGCACACGGAAGGTGTCCCTTATATTGTTAGCATTAAATTCCTTGAAGCTCTCCGCGCAATCACCACCCTGAAGAAGGAAGGCCTGTCCCATGGCAGCCTGACCCAGTTTCTCTTCCAAGCTCCTGGCCTCCCCGGCAAACACAATGGGCGGGAAGGTCTCGAGGGTGCCGAGGACCGAGGCCAGCTCCTCCTGATTTGGGTACTCTGGGAGCTGCAGGGCCTTCTTGGCCCTCCAGCTGCCGAAGCTCCATTCGGGTTGGGTTGGAAAGGTGGGTTGTGGTGCACCGGAGGGCTTTGATGGATCGGCGGCATGGACGGCTGAGATGGATTTGTGGGTTGGGAGCTGAGGGAGTGAAGGATGGTGTTTGATGGGTTCAGGGTGGAGGAGGGATTTGAACGAGAGAGAAGAGTAAGCTGTAAATGCCATTTTCTTCGTCTTGTGAGACAATTTGGATGTTGGAAATTGGTATTTGGCTTGGCAGAGACGATTTTGTTATTAATTTTGGGAATTTGCACGAATATTTAAGAGACGTGTGAATTTACTGCCATGTGCTATGTTTTACAATTTTGTCAACTGGCTGTATAAATTGAAACACATCCCCATTGTATCAAAGTTCTTCTTCGCACTTGAGCTTGACGCACACCCTTCCCTGTCTCTTTCATTCAGCCTTCCGCTCTCCCGTAGAGTTAAAAAAATAGGGTGAATTTGACTTTAATACCTGAAAGTTTACTTTTTTTGCTTCAATTTCGTACTGAAACATTCATTTTAGGGAGCTGGAGTTTCAGGCCCACTATCGGGCTAGAAACAGTACAAAACCCACCCATTTAGAATTTTTTTTTTTTTAAAAAAAACCTATAAAAAAAATTACCACTAACTGAAGCCCAGCCCAAGTTTCATTAAGAAATCCAAACTAAATTACAACTTTCCCACCAGGTATTTAATAACAAAATACTTTCATAGAATTGACAAATTCTTAAATACTTTCATAGAATTGATAAAAGTCACTAGTAAAATGGCAAGACTTTTGCTCTTAACAATTAGCCTTAAAAATATGAAAAAGTCATTCATTTAATAAGCTTTTTAAAAGTCATTAACTTTTTAAATACAACCAAACATAGCAAAATATAGCTAAAACTCAAAACAAGCCAAACCCACATTTAAAAAAAATTCAAACGAAGACAAAAGAAATTAGGCTAAAAGTCACTTTTTGTCCCTGTAGTTTAGCACTTCAATCACTTTTGATTATGTAGTTTCATATTTGTAGCAATTCAAGGATAAATGAGTATTTCTATTTATTTCTTTGAGGATGCAAGGGGCAATTTCGTCAACCCAAAATTCTTGAGCATAAAAGCTCGTCTAAAACTCCCCTAATTTCATATTAGGGCTTGAAATTGGTCATTTGGGTTTAGGGTTCTTCAAAAATTGGGATTAGTGGTTGAATTTCGAGTCCTAATATGAAATGAGAAGAATTTCAAACAAGCTTTTACGCTCAAGGGTTTTGGGTTGACGAAATTGCCCCTTGCATTGTTAAAAAAATTAACAAGAATATTAATATGTCCTTAAATTGTTACAAATACGAAACTATAATGGCAAAATTGACGAAATTGAAACTAAAGGGTCAAAAGTGGTTAAAGTGCCAAACTACAAGAACAAAAAATGACTTTTGGCCAAGAAATTAATAATGAAAAACGGACCAATCATGCAACCCAAAAAGTCGTCTTTAAAGGAAGTGCAATTCTTATTAAAGAATAAACTGTTACAAAGGCCTTTTTATACATATACATACCATCTATGCTGAGTTGTCATAACTAATTACAACTGAGAATATATTAGTAAAAATAAAATATAACTAATTTAACAAAGTAATAACTAGTTATTGCCTTTAGCCTCCCTCAAGTTGAAAGGGGGAGAGCACACTGTAAGCTTTTCGCGAAGAAAAACATATTTGGCAGTATATAAAGGTTTTGTGAAAATGTTTGCGCGCTAATTTGCAAAGGAAACAAATCAAATTTGTAAGAAGCTGTGTTGAACCAATTTGCAGCCCTTCGCCCGAGCCGAGCGGCAACTTGTCCAACAGGTCACGGTGCGGCATAGCTCCTGCAAAAAAAAAAAAGAAAAAAAAGAAATAAAAAATGACAGTCTCAACCTCCGCCAGCAACAACTGGCAACCACCACGGTAATAGCCACCACCCGGCGACGGCCACCAAAGCTCATGGTTGGGCTTAGAATACGACCTAGCTGCCAAACTGCAGCAAAAGGTACAGTCCAGCAACCAGGCTTGGGACGCGCTAGGTAGAAAAAAGAAAAGAAAAAGACGAAGAAGAAGAAGAAGCAGTCGTAGCCACAGCCGCGCTGCCGCCATCCAGTCATTCCAGCCTCCACTTTACACCAACTACCAGCTAGCCCACCAAGCTGGTCCTCGCCGTAAGCAAAAAAGTGTATCCATATCCGATGACCACCGTTGGCAGCAGCGTCAGTCATGACGACAACCAACCATGCCTACCCAGCTGGTCCTCGCCGCGAAGAAAAAACGAAAGAAAAAAAAAAAAAAAAAAGGTTCAACCTACCTTGGTATGCACAACAAACTCATTTCCTTGACAAACAGTATAATCCTCCAAGATCTCTCTCATAGGCTAGAAAGTAGAGGATAACAAGTTTTCAATTTGAAAAGGAGTGAACAGTATTTATAAAGGTTAGGGATCCTAGGTCAAGGATGAATCACAAGCCTATTCTCATTGGGAGCCCAACTCCAAGAAGAAGTCAAAGGCCTACTCCAATTAGGAACCCAACTCAAAGAAGAAAGCCTAGATGCAGTTGGAGAGCCCGATAAATATTTCTCATCTCCTCAATGCCTCACAAGCATCATGTAGAAGATAAGGTGCATTTGTGAGAACACATATTTCGCCGGCCAATAAGAAGGTGACAAGTGGAATTAGGGTAATTATCTTCAATGTAAGATAGGAATATTGTTGATGCTCTTTTTGGGAAGGTCAACTTAGGTAGAGGAGTATTGGATCTTTAGCATGCGAGAATATGTGAACCTTCAGTGTTCAGAGAACTTGCAGAAGACAATGGGGAAGAAGCGGTCGTCAAGCTTCGGACACCGATGTAGTGCCTGCCGAAGGCTCTCCGATGCTTAAGTCAACTATAAGTGGTAATTTTGGCAAAGTAACAGTAAATATGGGAAAATAGTTACCTTTTTTACTTGGCCACTGTTCCCTATTTATAGGGAAGTGAAAATGGGAGTTTTGCACAAAGTTTCGATGTGGGACCTTGTGCAAACTGCTGCAGAGGTGACACATGTCCATGGAAATTAGGTTCGGCAGCCGAAAGCTTCGGCATGTGGTTGCCGCTTCAGAAGAGTGTCTTTCTTCGGCCGGTTAGAAGGTGATGATGTCACTCACTTTCTAAGGGTTTGTTTGTGTGTCCCTTTGGGGTATTTCTTCTACTCGGAAGCTGACGTGTCTGCTTTGGTGCAAGTTGTTTTGATATTGGGTATACTCGGTTGATTAGGGTGTAAACAAATATCTCCCTAAATCAAGGAACCAATTTCTACCAAATCTCTTGGAGTAATTCCTGTCATCTTTTTGGGGATTACTAAACCAAATAAGGATTATTCTCCAAAAAAACCCTAGCACACAAGGAAACTATAAATACATGGCTACACAAGACTTTCAAGGTAATTCTAAATTCCTCCCTAATTCCAAAAACCCTAGAGAAATCACACACACACACACACACACACACACACACACACTCTCTCTCTCTCTCTCTCTCTCTCTCTCTCTCTCTCTCATGGCTAAGGCCACCAGGCCAACACCTCCTGGGAAAATTCCATCTATTTTAGCTATTGTCGTATCTTTATCAAGATTCAATTAAACTAACTTAGGCATCGGAAGACCTTTGACCAACACCCCTCAGGTGTGGTCCATTTACTCCTATTTATTTCGCAGGAATCGAAGTCAAGAGAGAAGAAAGATCGAAGACTGAGGAATTAACCCACAAATATTCCCATGCAGAATACTCAAACAACTGCTTGTGGAATCACATATTCGCACCTCAACTCAGGAGATGCCTCGTGGACTCTCTACGTCAAGAATGACAAATATGCCTTTAATGGATTTGAATTTTTTTGTTTTTACAATCAATCAAAACCTCTCAACCCTTTATGTCTCTCCTCCTTGTTTCTCTCTCTTCTTTCTCTTTAGTTTCCGGGAACAAAGGCTCGCTGTCGGAGAGATTCACTCCCCACACTTCCAAAATTCTCTGATTTCATGTAACTTGGGACATGCAATGCATCCAAATATCCTTTCTGATCAACATTAATTATATTATTCTCATAACTAGAAAATAAAAAATACTCACTAGATACTGTTGGAAATTAGGAACGTTATTAAATTGTTATTTAGTTTCCTTTTATTAGTTGATTGTAATTGATTTGGAGTAGTCTCCAAGTAACCTAGTTTTCTTAGTTAAGCTTGTAATATCTCTATAAATACTTAGCCTTTTGGCTCTATCAATAACAACCCGAGAATTATTCTTCTCAACACAGTCTCTAATTTTACAGATACTGGATATATAGTACAACTTCAACTTTATTGCACACATACTTCCTATTCCATTCCAATACTGCTAGAAATACCTATCTTCATGCTTAATTTATAATACCAACAATACCATTTGTATTATGCTACTACCACTACAGATTCCCTCCATGCACAGGCGTAGAGGACGGATTGACCAATATTTGCATGCTTCGCTTATTGAGAGGCATTGCCAAAAGAGTTGTACCAATAGTCTTCACTTTCTCTGTGGCCTTGATAATAACCAAGAACAAAACTCGATACAGAAGAATCATCCCTACCAAGATTGCAAGATCAACCCACTTAGAGTAACCCATTTCGACTTGCCATTTATCTCTCAGAATATGTTCCCCACTGAGACTGGATGTTTTTCCTCCTTGATCACTGCTAGGAAATGTTGTGCCTATGAATTCATTTTTAAACAGTCCTTGGTATGCATACTTGTGGAACGCAATGTAGTACAATGGGAACTTCCACAGAGGCTTGGGAATATCGTTTGGTAGTTGGAAGAAACCGCCACACATAATCATAAGCCCTTGAATTCCAGCACCGGCGATTATTCCCATGAGGAAGTTGGGCACAATGCTAGCAACTATCATCATCAGGCTCTCAACCAGCATCATGCAAGCAAATAACACACAAGCAAAGTAGAAGAAGTGTTCAAATCCTTTGTGAAGTCCAGCGACGTAATAAGTTATGGCGGCAGGAATCACTGAAATCAATATCAAGAAAGGCACAGAGGAAAATGTGTTGGCAAAAACGAATGCAGAAACACCATAGTGCCCGTTTAATCTTTCTCGTTCAAATACCTGAGTTTACAAGAGAAAACCTATATTTAGCAACATTATTATATATGGCACTTATGATGTAAACTATATAGAAGTGCAAAACTTAGCGTATATATCCAACCCTATTCCAAATTAGTTTACCTTCATATCTTCCACAAAAGAGGGGAATCCACCGATAGCCATAAAAGTTAGAAATGAAGATACAAACATGATCAGCGAGCTTCTTGCCTGGAAAATTAGAAATCTATTAAGTTTTATATCAATATATTCAACACTATAAGACAGCTCTCGAACAATTTCCTATGTAGTGTTCTCTTGTCAAGCAAGTTAGGTTTAGAAAACTGTCAATATGAACCACATATTACGTAATACGCACACAGAAGTACTCCTAATGATCAATGGCTAAAATTGAGAGTGTAATGATATATAACATGTTATATTGTGAATTAGATGGAGAAATGATCAGGTTGATTGTTGCATAAATGTTTCGTCCAGACTAAATTGTTGCAACATAAGCATCTTATGTACAAAACAAATCACCTGAATTGATTCATAACTATGTCCAAGATCTTGATAGACAGTGCCCAAGCCTAATGCAATGGTAATGTAGATAGCCAGGCGCAACCAGTAGTAGCCTCGATCTCGATACATGTTCATGAAGGATCTTCTTGTAAGTACGAAAGATTGTGTAAGAAAGCCAGCATGGCTTCTCTTCTCCAATTCTTCACCAAAATCCTAAATTTCATATAAATTTATGTTAGTCATAGATTTTGGCCCCTCCCATGATCCTGGGAATCAACTACCGTTTGAAAGGATAGTGTTGCATGTTATATAAATAATTGGAGCTATATATGAATCTGATTACTAGCCTATACCTGCTTACATAGTTCAGCTACTTGTCCTTGAACTTGCTGATAACTTTCAGATTCTTTATAGGACTTTATTAGAGTATCAATCGCTACTTCTGTGGGTGTGCGTCCAACCATGCCTTGTTCAATGTCCTAAAAAATGAACAGTTTGGATCATGAGATTACATTTTGGATGGGCTCAAACGAGTCATTATAATGAGTGCTTGCTTGAGCACTCTTCATTACCACATAAAGAGAAAAGTTGCAATCAAATACGACTAGGACTTTACCAAAAAAAAAAAGGCTTACCTGCTCAAAATCTTTGTTTATAGTCTTAAGGAAGTGATCTGATGGATTTTGGAGAGTTGGGCAAGGGAAACCACATAAGGAGAAAAACTGCAATCAATTGAAAATAACAGCAGTTAACCCTACAGCTACGGATCCAAATTTGGAAATAGTAAGCTAGGGAACTTAAGTTAGTCACTTGATTTGCTGCAGAAGCAGGGCCAAAATACACAGTTCTTCCTGCGGACAGAAGGCAAAGATTGTCGAAAAGTTGGAAGACTTCAGAGCTAGGTTGATGGATGGATGTAATTACAGTCCTTGGAATTCCATCAGTTTTATCCAGGTTTGCAATTCTGCTCATGACATAATAAGAAGCTGCACTGTCAAGGCCACTTGTTGGTTCGTCGAGGAAGAGAAGATTTGGGCGTGTAAGAAGCTCAATGCAAATGCTGACTCTCCTCTTTTGCCCACCACTGAGGCCTTTAGATCCCCACCCTCCAATCCTTGTGTTCATGGCATCTTGCAAACCCATCTCTCTTATTGTGATTTCTGCTCTCTCTTTCTTCTCTGCCTTGGACATGGAGTCCGGCAATTGCAACTGAGCCGAGTAGTATACGGCTTCGCTGACCGTTAAAGTTGTGATCAAAGTATCATCTTGTGTCACATATGCCTGTGTTGATGATATTTAAATTATGAAAAGAGATATTGAAAGCTTTATAAATTACTCGTATTTATATCTTCATTAAGCCAAAAGAGAAAGGCATTATGATATATAGTTCTTGATCTTCCTACCGAAGTTCCATATGCCAGTGCTTGTTTTTGCCCATTGATTAAGATCTTCCCTGTTTTCCTTGTGTTTGAACTCAATCTCCCTGCAGTATCATGAGCACATGACTTAAAATTAGACCTGTGCTTGGGGTTAATCCACACTACATATAATTAAAGAGTAATGCTATTTAGACACACAAAATTGACAACATTAGCTGACAATCTTATGTGGCAGCCGATGTGTGATGCCATGTCAATTAATGAATATTGACATGTGTATTTTTTTTAAATATATTATCTTTTCAATAATCCTTTTAAACAAACAAAAGTGAAAAATTAATATTAAAAAAAAACCAAAAAACCCCTAGCGTATCTGATCTGTAGCCTCACGTCTATTCTCCAAAAAACCCCTACTTAAAATTAGACCACACATCTGTATATAAATTAAATGGTCCCATAGTGTCTTTAATTTAGTAACCACACATCTGTATATAAATTGAATTTCGGTTATTTTTATTTTTATTTGTAACAATTGTGGTTCATGAGATCTCAACCCTACACAGAAAATATCTCCACTAGGTTGTTTTTTCTAGCTATTATTGGACAAATAAAACAACTTATATTCCTATTTTGTTTTATTCTAAATTATTCAGTAACTACAGTACACTATGATTTGTAATTTTGTACACGTTTTATGATAGTAGAAGTCGTCCTCTGCTTCAAAAAGTAAATAGATAGCGAAATCTTTCTAACAATAGATGGCGAGATCTTTCACGGAGGTACACTTTTTTTGTCATTGGCTGGCATTCTCTTTCACGTCACCAATCACCACGTGAGGAGAACACAAATAGGCATACAATCACAGGAAAATTCTACAATCACATACCGAGACGTCTCCTCTCCCTCTCTCTCTCTCTCCATTTCTATAAGCAGGCACATTCTAGTAGCAAATCCATATCAAGGATGGAATTAGGAATTTTTTAACCGGCTAGCTAAAATTATTAACTTAAAATCTAATGTTCTTTTTATTTTATTTGTATACTTACAATTTCTATATTTTTTTAGAAATAAAAGTATACATCATATAAACCACACACATAGAGTGACACCACAATAGAAAAGTGGGCCAACTCTCCCCCTCTCCCCCAAAGTGCACTCAGGTTCGATTTGCTAGTTCATAACTCCATTGACTAAAGTTATCAGCCATCAAATCCAATTTTGATACGTATTATTTGACATCTCTATTGAAGGTACTTTTAGCTGAGCAAACAAATTAAATATAAGATGATTATAGGCCTATAGGTTGAGTCGACAAGGTGTTATTAGGCTACATTTAGGTGGACTACTAATCTTTTATAGAGTGAAATCACATAAAAATACATTTAATATTTTTTAAAGGCTACCTGGGCTAAAGCCCATGGTAGCCTTGTTGCTAGTTCCGCCCATGCATATCAAGGGCGGCCTGGCATGGTACAAGTGGCACCACCGCACAAGATCCCTGAATTTTTTTTATTTTGTATTATATATATTAATATTATAAAAATTATATATATTCTAGCGTGCAACACATTGACACATAAGTGTATTTGGTTGTGCTGGTTTTTTATAGCATATCCCTTAGCACAAAGCCCAGATTCGAGTCTTAGTCAATCTATTTATATTTTCATATTAAATTATATGAGGACTCATCATGTCGGTGAAAACCAAAATTTTGCTAACTAATTATTAAGTAAGAGGGTATGAATTGTTACCTCCTAAAGCATCAAGAAGAGTAGACTTGCCACAGCCAGAAGGACCCATTATAGCCAAGAGCTCCCCAGGCCTGGCATAACCAGTTACACCTTGGAGGATTGATCTTGATCTGCTACCATTTTCATTCTTTGCCTTAGAAACCACAGTCACCCACAAATCCTCCCACGTCAAGAAAACACCCTCTTCTAACTTTGGATAGTTTTCGTTCTGGTTTCGGTTTCGAGCAGCACCCGGCCCTGACCTAGTTACAGTTGCAGTTCTAGGCAGTGGATCATTATGGCCTACTGTTTCAACCTCCAGTACTGCTGTTCTAATATAGTACCTCCTTGAAATCTATTTGCCTATTTCCCTTTTTTGTATTATCTTGGGCATAACTTCTTCTTTAGTTTCTTGTTGGTGAATTGCTTAAGGAGGATCGAGGCCGGGTATTTAAAGAAGCTTAAAGAGCAATTAAACGGGATTTGCATTTACATTTTTCTCACCTTAGATCTTTCTGCTGCTAATGTTTAAACGAGTACATATTACTAATAAATGCAAAAGGACAAGAGTAGTTCGTATAATAACACCGTCCAGTCGTTGGCTAGTACCGCACGGCACCTAAATTGGGAAGAAGTCAAGCATTTTTTTTACTGCAGAACTTTCATTATTCAACTTAAAATTTTAAATAAATAAAAAACCAAAGCACTAGGAGTTCATCTTTTTATTATAAAATAAATTATTAGTCTAATTAGTTAGTTGTTTATCTTTTTTTTATTATTATCATAACAATATGAGGTTATTATTTGCGAATCACTTTGAGAGTGATTTTAAGTAGGCCAAACAATGTCGTAATCCACCCTTACATCTTCATGGACAAACAATGTCGACTCACACACACTAACTGGCCACCATATAAACAGGTTTCCAGCACAATGCATGGTAGGAGTTAGATAGCCACAATGGCCACCATACAAAATTCAATATGATGGTTTTTTTCTTCTCTTTTATTAATTCTATGCATATAAAGAATAGGGATTTGCGAAATAAATTTAAAATTTACCTAGGGCCTTCAACTTCGTAGGGACACCCATGCGTGAATATATAAGAAATTTCACATTTCTTACGCAAGCGATGTGGGACTATATATACGTCATATTCAATGTGTAACACACTACATGTTATGTTCACCACGTCCACATGTCATGTTCAATGTGTAACACGCCACATGTAATGTTCAATGTGTCAGGTTTCTCACAATAAATAGGTGAATGAATGTGTTTTGGGGTCAACCCACTTGACTTCTCTGAAAGCTTAACCTGCGGCCACACACTTCTCTTTAGGGTGTGTTAAGACATATTCACATTTTGGGGGAACACTATCAGGATGTGTAAACTCTCCCAGAGTCTTTGATTTCTCCATTCGAGAGTCTTTACTCCTCAATTGGGACAAATCCAAAACGCCTCACTGATCATCTACCGCTTCATCCCGATTGCAAGGTAATATCATGGTGTCGGGATTTTAATTGTACTTACCATTGCAAGGGCTCCACCTCAAATTGTTGCGAGAAAAAGTAATTCAAAATTGCTTTTGTTGTGTGAAGGCCATCCAAACTCGGCTGTTGGGATATGGCCTCGATCGAAGAAACACAACATGGTCCCTGAAGTTGTCGCCGCCAGTACAAGGACCTAACCCAGCCGTTCTAATTTTTTCTTCAAGCGGATATAGCGTTGCTAGCGGCTGAAAGCTTACTTTCGGCAGCTTCATAGTCTTTCGACGGACTAGGACTTCCTTACCAAGAAGTCGGTGGCTTTCTCTTCGAATCCCATTGACTTTAATATATGTATATTTGTTTTAACGCAAATGCAAGCGGCCATATGCGTGCGGCCATCAAGGAAGAATTTTTCTAAATAGTTTATATAGGTGATCAAAATGCCCGTGCGGCCACTATAATTCGGTTTGATATGGAGGTGGCCATATGCTAGTAGCCAAAAACTCAAATGGGTTTTTCCTCGTTAAATCAATCATATACTGTTAAGTTCATAATTTCATACATATACATGTCTTATTTACTTAGTCCTTTTACTTAGAATTCTGAGTCATTTACTTCTCTTTGTATGTTTTGTAGATCAATAGAGCAAGAAAACATAATTCATGCAATTCAAGCACGTTAAAACCTGATTTGGATGAATGGAAGAGGAGCTTAAAGACAAATCCAATACGAGCTACACTCCCTTGTTAGTCTAGTTTCGTAGGTCACATTGCATGCCTTATTTCAGCAATCTACATAGCTCAAATGAGGAGACATTCTCTCATGCCCTCCCTTAGCCACCCAGATTCCAAAGCCAGCTACACCCAGATTGTAGAAGGGTGAACTGCGACGCATTTAAAGAAATCTATATTTGCTGTCTTTAGGCGTTTTCTAAAGAAGATAATTCATTAATGCATCATCATCATCTGTAATTGTTCTCAAGAAATCAACATCACCTGATATTGCTACCTCATACAGAGAAGGAGCCATGGGTTTGAATGATGATCTCCCTCTCTCTCTCTGAACCTTTTTTTTTTTTTTTTTTTTTTTGGGTCAAAAACTTCATCTCATGTAATGGTGATATATGGGTTTGAATGATGATCTCCCCATCCGCTAATTTCATTCTTATTGAGCAAAACTCAGCAACAACAATGGAGGACGGGGATGGATAAATTTGGTGGAGGCTACAGACCAGGGACGCTTGGGATATTTTTATAATTTTTTCACTTTTTTTTAATTTATTTAAAGGATTATTGAAAAGAGAATAAATAAAAAAAATAGAATACACAGGCAATATTCATTAATTGAAATGGCTTGACATAGCTGTTATATAAGGTGGTTAGCTAATGTGATCAATATTGTGTGTCTAAATAGCATTACTCATAATTAAATAGTCCCATAGTATCTTTAATTTAGTAACCACACATCTATCTATAAATTAAATTTCAATTTTTTAAAATTTATTTATAACAATTGTTGTTGATGAGATTTTCAACCTAGCACAGTTACTCAAGAGAAGAAAATTCGGGAATCACAAAAAATATCTCCACTGTGTTGTTTTTTTCTAGCTATTAGTGGACAAATACAACAACGTTAAATATTGTGTGGAAGCCTGTACACTACGATTTGTAATTTTGTACACGTTTTATGATAGTAGACTTAAAGTCATCTTTTGGATTTGTAATTTTGTGCACGTTTTATGATAGTAGACTTAAAGTCATCTTTTGCTTCAAAAAGTAAATAGATAGCGAAATCTTTCACAGAGTGTATACTTCTTTGTGATTGGCATTCTCTTTCACATCACCCATCATCACGTGAGAACGCAAATAGGTATATACACTCACCTACTGTGACGTCCTCTCTCTCTCTCTCTCTCTCTCTCTCTCTCTCTCTCATCACTCCATTTCTATAAGCAGTCCCCTTCTAGTAGCTAATCCATATCAAGGGCGACCCTGACATGGTACAAGTGGCACCATAGCATGACTCCTAAATTTTTTTTACTTTATATTATATCTTTTAATATTATAAAAACTGCATATATATTTTAGCGTGCAACATGTTGATACATAAGTAGTGTATTTGGTTGAGCTAGTTTTTAAAGCACATTCTTTGATACAAGGCCCAGATTCGAGTGTCAATGGCTTCAGTTTAAGTTTCGCACAGGATCTTCAAAATCTCAGAACTGGCCCTGATCCTATCATCACAACTATAAACAGGGGCGGAGCCACACTGGGACCAGTGTGGTCCCAGGCCCCCACTCAAGTTTTTTTATATTTTAAAAATAATATACTGCTATGTATTTGTATATGTATATCATTTCAAATACTTTATGTTTTGATATGTACCCATATGTATTGTGGCGGACTTATTAAGGCCCAAGGAGGTAGTTCAAATTGCGCCCTTGCTCAGCTAGTGGTGATGCACTCCAAGTGTACAGATTACCTTATTTCCATTTTCAACATGTAAGCAAATGTCTTTGTCATTTGACTTTAATTTATTTTTATATTACACTATTTACTTAAGTTTACAATGTAAATAAGGAAGTACCCCTTATTTGAATTCAAATAAAAATACTAGAAAATCAAATTCTCACCAAGTCAAAATATGAAAAATCGGTTTTAGTGTAAAATACGATTTAGGCTAAAAATGATGGCTCATTAAGTTAATATATACTTCATACTAAAATCTCATAAAATCAAGTTTTCTTATTTCATGTGTAAGGAATAAAAGCCGCCAAAAATTATCTTGAGAAAATGATTATTCAAAAAAACCATTTTTTCATACTTAGTAAATACTTTTTTAAATACATTTTTACAAATTTATAAATAAATCCAATTCTAGACATGTATTTATAAAAAAAACCCAAACACTATTTAAACATAGAAACACACC